TGAAAAGTACAGTTTTAGGCTGGGTATAGTGGTGCATGCCTATAATTCCAGCTACTCAGGAGGCTGAGGTAGGAGGATCATCTGAGCCCATGAGGTTAAGGCTGCAGTAAGCCATGATGGCACCATGGCATTCCAGCCTGGGCAACAGAGCATGACCCTGTTTCAGAAAAAAAAAAATTAAGAAAGTACAGTTTTGAACATTTTGAGTGAGTTTGAGGCACATATTGGTCCTGGATCTGTTTGTCCACAGATGCATTTTTCTTGCTCTTTCCTTCCTCTGTCATGCATGACTGGGAGCTGATTTGCTGACTAGAACTCCTGGGCTCCAATGTCAGTGGGCTTCTGGTATGGTTTGGGCAATGGGAGGCACCAGCCAGGGATTAGAAGACAAGAGCAGGGGAAAAGTGAGAAATTACTCCTCTTCTATATCCACCTCGGACAGCGTCTACAGTCCTGGATGCATCTTCTCTGCAGCCCCACCTCCCTCCCGACAGGCTTGTTCCAGCCTTCTCCAGCAAGATCTCTCCTTGTGCTCTAATGACAGAGGCTTTCCTTTGTCCCTCCAGTCTAGGGGTGATAGTGGCTTCCTGCTGATGACAGATTCAGGGATCCCTCAGAGTTTCCTGTTTGGTTTCTCAGTGCTCCCTCTTCCCTGTGCAGCGTTAAACTTTCTCTTTTAAATATTCAGGGTAGTTTCTGATTTTCTGAGGAATATCCAAGTGGAGGTATCCAGAAAGCTCCTAAGTATGTGAGAAAAAGTTATAGGCTGAATGTTATCAACACATAGATAGCTGGAGTTTCTATTATGGCACTTATTTCCCTGGAGGACAATTGTTTCCTTACTCATCTGTCTGGTACCAGTCTGAGAAATCCTTAAGTGCAGATACAATGTTTTATTTCTGTCCATTTGCCTAGGGTCCACTCAGCACCTGGCACAGAGTAGGTGCTTCACAGTGTTTATTCACTGAAGAAATCAATGTATAAACCCTAAACATTGTTTTTAGGTGATATTAATTGGTGGATGCATTTTTACAATAAAATTTAACTCAATCAACCAGGGGAATGCCCAATCTGAATTAAAACAAAATCTGAATCACTGGATATTTGTTAACATATGCAGTTCTACTACCTTCAGGATTGTCATAATACAAATAAATGGATAGCAATAAGTTGCCCTCATTATTAATTCACTTATTGAGTAGATAAGAATAATTGGAAATTATTGCAGTTGTGAATATAACTGTGTATATAAACCGTACTGCTAAATAAACTGAAAACAGCAGGTTTGTTTAAGTAGGTTAAACATTCCTCTGACTCTCCTGTCTTGGATACACAATGAATTTCCCTAGAAATGATCTGCAGATAACCTCTGGTGAGGGTCCATATTGTTACATCTGAGCTATGGCTAAATAAATCAGGTGGTACACACAGGGCATTACGAAGTATAGATGTTGGCCTTGGCCCAGAGGAGAATCATCAAGTCTGTTCCCGAGAGTTACAGATCACGTAATTTGCCTCTGTCAGCAAGGTAAGGGGCCATGCTGGATTCAAGGGGCTCTGTATACGTTGGATGCTGCTGAATCTGTGGGTGGGAGGGAAGAAATGAAGCCAATGACAGCTTCAGCTTGTCTTTTGTTTCTCTTGTGGTTGATAACCCATGAGAAACATTTCCTTCTGTTCCTTACATCAAAAATGAAAACGGCATTGGGAAAGTGGAGATAGTGAATCCTTGATACCTTTCTTTGAATAGCGGTGACAAACCTTGTGTTTTTGCAACATTTTAACTTTGCAAAGAACAAACAAACATGGGTCTGTCACAAAACTAATAAATACAGACAAGAAAAAAGAAAAGCAACAAAATAAAATAAACACAAATTCCACTATGTAGAGGCAATCTCCTTTGACAATTTGGAATACCTCCTTCTAAAATCATTGCTATGCAAATATGCACACTTAAAAGTATCTTCATATTAGACATATTGCTCTATAACTCACTTTTTCATGCAAAAAATGTCACAAACAACCTTCCATGTCAATAAATGTTTGTACTGTTAATAGTTGTATGGTATTCCATTTAATAAACTCACCACAATTTCTTTAATCAGTCTCCTGCTGAGAAACATTTGGATCAGCTCAAAGTTTTCACTACTGGCATGTATCTGATGAACTGATTTTTAAGGTGATTCTTCAAGCACTTGTAAAAGATATTTTGGTGCAGACTGTGAGAAGAGTGGAGCAGGCATATGAAGGAGCCCAAGAGAGGGAAATGTTCCATAAATTGATATTGTTCTTGGTACATAAAGGACAACAGTTAACAGGAATGAGGTGGGGAAGAGAGAGTGTGTAGTAGGAGAAAGTAGGAAAGGGTGAAATGACAGGTGTGGACAGAGAAAGAGGAACCCAGAAAGACAGACAGAGGGAGAGAGAGAGAATATGACAAGAACAAACAGAGAATCAAACAATCCTTAAGGATGCTCGAAATAATAAAAAATAGTTTTGTGATAATTGCCAAAAAGGCCAATAGCATTTACATCATTCAAGTGATGATGTCATTGAAAGAAAGAAAAGGGGATTTTTCTGTGAGACAAATTGCTCAAAACCTGAGTGGTGTTTGGTCATCAGGATAGATAAGGAGTTATCTTTTAAAAACTCTGAAACAAAGAGCAAATAATTTAAAGAAATATCGGCCACGCAAGGCGGTTTATGCTTGTAGTTCTAGTGCATTGTAAGTCTATGCACTAGAGGATGGCTTGAGGCCTGGGCAACATAGTAAGATTCCTCTCTAAAAAGCAAAAATAAAAAAATTAACTGGGTATAGTGGTGGGTGCCTATACTCCCAGCTACTCGGGAGGCTGAGGCAGGAGGATCACGTGAGTCCAGAAGTTTGAAGTTGCAGCAAGCCATGATCTCACCACTGTATTCCAGCCTGGGTGACAGACACAGAGTGGGACACTGTCTCAGGAAAAAAAAAAAAAAAAAGAAAAAAGAATGAAATCTCATTCTACTTTACTTACCACACACACATGTTCATATCATGTGTTAAACACTGTCTTCTAAAAAATAGCTTAGGGTAAGATGTGTTGCCTCAGGCCTGTAATCCCAGTACTTTGGGAAGCCAAATGGAAGGATTGCTGGAGGTCAAGCATTGGAGACCAGCCTGGGCAATGTATTGAGACTCTGTCTCTATTTCAAAACAAACAAACAGCTTAGAAAATAATTTTCTTTAACCCTTACCTCTGATACTTTTAATTATGTGCTCTCTTATTTGATTGGAGTTAAAATATTCTGTAATATCACTTTGCATAACAGCCCCAGAGAAAATGAAAGGGGAAGGAGTTAGCTTCCCTTTTCCCCCACTGTTCTGCCTGCTTCCTCTTTTAGAAAAGTTAAAGTAAGTTGTGAGCAGCCACTTTCTCTTGAACATATTCTTCCATATAATCTGGGGTGGGGGGGGTATGTATTTGTGGGGGCTGGAGGATGACCTCTGTTACAAAATTTCCTGTGGACATTTCCTTATCTACACTAGCGGGGAACAATGAAGATTACTTATATAATGAACATCACTTATACAGGACACATATTACAGTAGATTCCAATTTTTACAAATATCAACTCATATAAAGAGGAGGTCAACCCTGACTTATCTCATGGACAAGCTGTGTAGCACAAATGAAATTACTAAGTGAAAGTGTTTGGTCAACTCTAAAGGTCCTTATGAATTTGAGGTCTTTCTAATTGTTGGAACTTTCTTATACTCTGGCATCTGTAGAATCCATTCAAAGACAGAAATTTCTGCTTCTTTCCCACACCTGGTGGGAGGAATAGGGGAACAGGCCCACAAATTGCCTTGGCTTTTGTGGTCTCCTGGTATGCTCTTTTGCATGGAAAGAAAAACGAGGCAAATGCTTTTACCTTCATCAAACCTACTGGAAACGGTTAAGTTTCCCTTCTTTTGACTAAAGCAAAACTAAAAACCACAAGAAACCTACTCAAGATTGGCTCATATTAATCATTTCCTGTGTGGAACCCTGTCCTGTGTCAATGACACTTTGACACAGAGCAAAGAAGGGAGAGGGCGGGCCATTGCTTCTAAATGCACCTAAGGGCACTTTCGTTAAAGCACTAAGCTGCATGCTCAACAAGTTTAGCATGACTCAGCAAGGTGAGTCACTGAACACTGTCCATCCAGGGCAAATAAGCTTGTCCAATCACATGACCTACAAGATCAGGGTATAGCAAACCATACCTATGGTTTACCGTACCACATGTGCAAGTCAGTCCCGTTATGGAACACTCCAGGGCCGTGGGGACCACTGTGGAACCTCTTCTCAACAGGGCTCTGTCATGTTACCTTGTGTGTATTTGCATGTCTGCCAACCACTTCTACAGCAGGTGCTGAGGCAAACCTCCTCAAAGGTTCTGATTTGGATCTCCCATTTGGAGAAGACTGATTCTGTCCATATTCATGGCTTTTCTTTCTTGCATTAGGGACTGATGCATTGCACACACAAATGAGCCCAATCTATTTTAAGTGAGAAAAAGCTCCGACCCTCACCACCAATTACATCCTACCTCATCATTTTTTTTGTTCTAATATTTTTTTATTGCATTTTAGGTTTTGGGGTACATGCGCAGAACATGCAAGATAGTTGCATAGGTACATAATGGCAGTGTGATTTGCTGCCTTCCTCCCCTTCACCCACATCTGGCATTTCTCCCCATGCTATCCCTCCCCAGCTCCCCCCGCCCCACTGCCCCTCCCCTGTTCCCTCCAATAGACCCCAGTGTGTAGTGCTCCCCTCCCTGTGTCCATGTGTTCTCACTGTTCATCACCCGCCCATGAGTGTAATATTTACCAGTTATTTAGAACCTTCCGAGCATCTGTTCTTTCTGAAAGCATAAGCACCAATATGTGTAATTTGCTTCCCTTGTCATTCCAAAATCTTTAATGCATACAGTTCAGACATCCTATTTGTTTAATATGAGCAATGCCAACTTTATTTACTGTAATAAATGTGCTTCTTTATTCTTCTGGGAAGAAAAAGGGAAATTCAATGCAAAAGACACGTTTAAGGTACTCCAGTGTGTATGTAATACAGAGGCTGCTGCTGAAATACAATACAATGTCAGGAAATTCTGCAATCCCGTTTGGTTTTTGGTTGTGTTTTCATATTTTTCTTAAATATGGCATTGCTACAGTACAAAGAAGATGGACATATTTTAGTGTCTGGTACACAGTCTCTTCACTAACTTTGGAACTTTAAAAGTTGGCCACTTCTGATAGTGAGCGGGTTCAAGAAAACTGATATATGTGGTGAAATGCACTTTTGTAGTCCAGCTTTGTGTTTCAGAGCTGTTATAGAATCAGATCTTTAAAAAATGAATATCTACAACTATTCCAGCAGTTCTGGTATATAAAATATTTGCTGGTTTTGCATAGGAACTTCATAACCTGCATGATATTACTCATGTGTATTTGTGGGTTTTACTTCAGATGTGGAAAGGATGCCTTTTGGCAAAAATTCTTTTTCTTTTTCTTTTCAGAGGTTTTGTATTCAGCCCAAAAATCCCTAGCATCTGTTTTCTTAGGTTCATGGTCTCCTTTAAATTTTACATTTGTATTTCTATTTTTTTTTCAGTCAACTTCATGAATGTTTTGGAATGTCTTCTGTACAAATTCACTCCCCAGTGTTGCAGAGAAATTGTGCTTCTCTTTACCCTCTTCCAGTTGATTTTCTTTCTTGCTTGCTTTTTTTGAGACGGAGTCTCACTCTCATCTGGGCTGGAGTGCAGTGGCATGATCTCGGCTCATTGCAACCTCCACCTCGCAAGTTCAAATGATTCTCCTGACTCAGCCTCCCAAGTAGCTGGGATTACAGGCATATGCCACCATGCTCGACTAATTTTTGTAGTTTAATAGGGACAGGGTTTCACCATGTTGGCCAGGCTTGTCTTGAACTCCTGACTTCAAGTGATTTGCTCGGCTTGGCCTCCCAAAATGCTGGAATTACAGGCATGAGCCACAGTGCCTGGACATTGATTTTCTTTAAACAGATAGTCTAATAGCTTTGCCTGTGACATGTTTAGGCTTCTGAGTGCAGTCCCTGTGGTAAACAGTACAGTGTCTGAAATTCTACATATACATTGACTTCTGACCTCTTTGAAAATGTGATCTGTGAGAAGACCACACAGGCTTTCACATGCAAGATGGTTTCAAATTCAACATGGTTTCCTAGGAAATAACTTGAAGGAGTGTAATCATCACCATATCCTGATACCCCAGCAGAAAGATACATTACTTCCAGTAAGCTGCGACATTTCACCTCCACCTTTGGCAGTTCATTATATTGCCCATTTGTCCTCTTAGTAAATAATGTCTGTAAAAGTAGTTGAAATAGTTGAAAGGAATTTAATTTAAAATATGCTCACATGTATTCACCTAAGTACAAAGACACATAGTGTTTAAAAATAAGTAAACTCAGCCTTTTCTCCCTTGAAATGTATCAAATACTAAAGCTTTCTGTAGCATCTTGATCCTAAAAAGAACCACAGAAAGGCATTTAATCCATTCTCAAACATTTGGACAGACTAGCAGCATTATGCTAGTCTTCAACAAATGTAAGGAAGGCTTCTTGTTACAGTTTTGCTTTATTTATGGCACAATGTTTTTCTCTCTCTCAGTTGAATATATTCTGTTCAGAGTATTGGGTCAATGACAGGTCCCACTTAAAGGAGTAGTAAAGAAAAAGATTTGTCAGAATATGTGGTGACTCACATCTGTAATCCCAGCACTTTGGGAGGGCAAGGCAGGAGGATCACTTGAGCCTATGCATTCAAGACCAGCTTGGGCAACATAATGAGATCTTGTCTCTTAAAAAAAACAAAATTAGCTAGGTGTGGTGGCATGTCCCTATAGTCCCAGTTACTCAGGAGGCTGAAGTGAGAGGATTGCTTGAGCCCAGGATATAGAGTCTGCAATGAGCCATGACTGTGACACTGCACTTCATCCTGGGTGATAGATCAAGATCTTATCTCAAAAAAAAAAAAAAAGATCTGCTGGGACAAACTTAATGGAAACAATTACAATATTTTAATTTGGAAATTGTTCTTAGATCACACAATAAACAAGCAGACAACAACATGCAAATTATTATGAAATGATATAAGCATGGCTCTATAAATACATTCTAATGGTTTCAAAACCTGGCTATTGTTCTCTCTCTACCCTTCTAGAAGAACAGCTCAGAGATGGAGATTTCACAATTCCCTCCAACAGCTATGCATTGATCCCATTTGTGATAACCTGACATTATATTCATATCACAATGATCCAGACAGTGTTGCATATTTTAGGAATGGAAAAGACAAGTCATTTAGTATATAGTAATTATTTTCCTTCTTTGGGCCAACAAGTTGGGCAGGCCTATAGCTAAATCACAACTGTTGGGTGCATCTTATTGCAAATATTTTATTTTTGTCTGCCTGAATCATTTTATGGCTTTTCCATGTCCAAATGTAATTTAGCGCTTTCCTATAATCATGCTTTTTCCAACAAGCATACTTTTTGTGCTTGCAGTTTTCTACAATTTAATTGCTTGGTCATTCAGAAAATCTTTTACACTTTTAATGCAGATATTCTATTTATGTAGGGCCAATTTATTAACTTTGGTAATATTTGTTGTTGATGCTATTTTGTGAAAACATTACAATTTTGTTTTTTTGTTTTGTTTTGTTTTGAGATAGAGTCTCGCTCTGTCCCCCAAGTTGGAGTACAGTGGCGTGATCTTGGCTTACTGTAACCTCTGCCTCCCAGGTTCAAATGACTCTTCTGCCTTAGCCTCCCGAGTAGATGGGATTACAGGTGTGCACCACCATGCCCAGCTAATTTTTGTATTTTTAGTGGAGATGGTGTTTCACCCTCTTAGCTAGGCTGGCCTTGAACTTCTGGCCTCAAGTGATCCACCTGCCACAGCCTCGCATAGTGTTGGGATTACGAATTCTTGAGCCACTGTGCTCGGTCAAAACACTGCATTTTTTTTCTAAAGGGAGTCTAATCTATTCCTTTCATTTTAGAGTTGAAAAATCTGAGCCTAGAGAAACTAAGTGAGCTTTTCAAGGTTAATAGGTACTGGGGTAGTTGACAGAGTTGAGACTAGACCCTGAATCCTCCAGCGCTTTTACTTTTCTTTCTGGGGGGAAGAATTTTTCAGCACCTTGTGTGTTTTGTCACCGGGCTTACAAAAATCTTACCAGTAACTTAAATGAGTAACCAGTTTCTCTTGTGATTAAGATTATATCAATAGTTTTCTAATGACTGAAAACTTAGTACAAGGGAGGCTTTCTCCTACTTGAAAGTAGGGACAGTATTTTCCAGACTCACACTTCTAGAAGCCACTGAAAAAGAAGCAACATACTTACATTTAGATGGGTATGGTGATGGGCCATCTAACTTGCTAGTAATCAGTTTGTACCTGTACTTGGAATAGCTATGTTCAGATTCGATTTTCTTTTTCCTGAGAACATCAATAATACAAAGCAACTTTCATCCATCTCCCTGCTTAAATCTTGTTAGAACTTTGGGAGGCCAAGGTGGAAGGATTGCTCGAGTTCAAGAATTTGATACCAGCCTGGGTAACATAGTGAGATCTCATCTCTACAAAAAATAAAAAATTAGCTGGGTGGTGGTCCTCCCTGTAGTCCCAGATACTCAGGATGTTGAGGTGGGAGGCTGAGGCAGGAGGATTGCTTAAAACCAGGAATTTAAGGCTGCAGGAAGCCATGATCGTGCCACTGCACTCTGGCATAGGCAACAGTAAGACCCTGTCTCAAAAAAAAAAAAAAAAAATCTCATTAGAAAGAATTTCAGAAAAAAGGAATCCAAATAACTCATACTGAAGAATTCAAATTGCATCTGCAAAGTAGGTATTATAGAACATACTCTTCTAAGCCATCACTGCCAAAACTTACATTTTTGTTTGTGAAAGTAGTTCATTTAAGAAAGGCTTTCATTTTGATTAGTATATCAAAAACAAACTAGCAGGCAAATTAAGAAAGAATGAGGGGTTCCGGGTGCAGTGGTTTAGGCCTGTAATCCCAGCACTTTGGGAGGCTGAGGTGGGTGAATCACCTGAGGTCAGAAGTTCGAGACCAGGCTGGCCAACATGGTGAAATTCTATCTCTGCTAAAAATGCAAAAAAATAGGTGTGGTGGTGGGCACCTATAATCCCAGCTACTCTGAAGGCTGATGCAGGAGAATTGCTTAAACCTTGGAGGCAGAGGTTGCAGTGAGCTGAAGCTGAAGTCACACCATTGCACAACAGAGCGATACTCTGTCTCAAACAAACAAGAAATGAAACAACTAGGGGAACAACCAGTAAAACCACCTACATGATATAAATGGGATACCATTGCCGGAATCTATGTGGTTAACAGGCAGGATAGGGCTCTCTGACCAATCCATGTGCTAACCATGGTACATGTTTTTTCTTCCAAACAGAATCTGAATTAAAGCTCTCAAAAAGCAGACATTTTACTTGAGGGTGGGAGTGTCACAGACTAGTGATCCAGATTAATTTATAGTTAGATTAACAAGGTTGTGATCATCTTAGAAAGCAGGAATAAGTCTCTAATAGGTTTGGATTCATCTTTAGGCTGTTCAGGTATAGGTGGGATGGGTTAGAACTGTGTTTCCCAAACTTAAGTCATTGGCCTATTACTTTTATCGTTTTTGCCACTTCTGATCATATATCACTTTTTTACATTTATGTCATATTTTTTTTAAGATGATTTAATTTGAAACCTAAATACATTTGTTTTTTTTTAAAAAAAGACTTTATCACTCCTGTAAACAGGAAACCAGCATCACCTGCTATAAATAGATAGTAATTGTGTGCTGGGTGAGGTGGCTCATGTCTGTAAGACCAGCACTTTGGGAAGCTGAGGTGGGAGGATTGCTTGAGCCCAGAAGTATGAGACCAGCCTGGGAAGCATAGCAAGACCTCATCTCTACGAAAAATAAAAAATTAGCTGGGTGTGGTACTGTATTCCTGCAGTTCCAGCTACTTGAGAGGTTGAGGTAGGAGGATTGCTTGAGTCTGGGAGTTAGAGCTGCAGTGAGTTGTGATAGCACCACTGCACTCAGCCTGGGCAACGCTATTTCAAAAAATAAAATAAATGGTAATTGTGAAAATAAAGAAAATAAAAACCAACATTATTATTTTTTGGTTAAATACCATCATCTCAGAAGACTGTGATCCCAAATCTGCTATCTTTTGGCTGAAAACTAGAATAAACACCAGAAGAGTGTTAAATATGTGCTAACATCAAACTAAGACCTTTCTCTTGAGGTAATCAGAAGAACTGAAGAAAACCTGAAAAAGGAAAAACCTGCCTCTGGCATGTCGTCTCCTGCCGTTCTCCGCTGCCTCATCCCACACTAGCTCCTGGGCCCTTCATGCTGTTCTCTTCCATCAGATCATTAAGTTCACTCCTATCTCAGTACCTTCACACTTGCGGTTCCCTCCTACTGCATAGATAAGTTTTTCCCTAGATCCTTACAGAGTTCCATCACTCGCTTGCCTCTACTCAAATGTTGCTTTTTCTTTCTTTTCTTTTTTTGAGATGGAGTCTCACTCTGTTGACCAGGCCGCAGTGCAGTAGCATGATCTCTGCTCACTGAAACCTCTGCCTCTTGGGTTCAAGTGATTCTCCTGCCTCAGCCTTCCAAGTAGCTGGGATTACAGGCACCTGCCACCAGGCCCAGCTAATTTTTGTATTTTTAGTAGAGACAGGCTTTCACCATATTGGCCAGGCAGATCTCAAACTCCTGACCTCAGGTGATAGACCCTCCTCAGCCTACCAAAGTGCTGGGATTACAGGTGTGAGCCACTGTGCCCAGCCGAATGTCTTTTTCTGATAGGTGTTCCCTGACTGACCAGAGTCAGTAAAATAGCTCTTCATTCATTCATTCATTCATTCATTCATTCATTCAGGGTGAACTTCCATTGCAGTCTATTTGGCTTCCTTATCTGACCCTGTTCCTTTGTGAATGGCTGGATTCTCTTTGCCTTTATGCAGCCAACCAAAAATTACAATTTATTCTTCTTTTGTTAGCTAAATAATATTGTTTGGTTTATATGTAGGGTTAATTTTTATTTAAAAAACATGTATGCATAAAAATTACAGAAGAATATACCAAACACCTTAAGCGTATAATCTTCAGGTAATAGGAATTGTGATGATCTTTATTTCCTCTGTTATACTTTTCTGTACTGATTGATTTTATTCCCAGTAAAATCAACTTAAGATCATAAAATCTGTTTTTTGTAATCATAAAAATAGTGCTAGTTCCATTATTATAGAAAAAAATTAGTGCAGTTCAACATAAATTCTCAGGATATTATACTAGAGAGCCAGTAAGAATAAGGGCAAAGAAGAGATCGAGACCATCCTGGTCAACATGGTGAAACCCCGTCTCTACTAAAAATACAAAAAATTAGCTGGGCATGGTGGCACATGCCTGTAATCCCAGCTACTCAGGAGGCTGAGGCAGGAGAATTGCCTGAACCCAGGAGGTGGAGGTTGCGGTGAGCCGAGATTGCGCCACTGCACTACAGCCTGGGTAACAACAGCGAATCTCCGTCTCAAAAAAAAAAAAAAAAAAAAAAAAAAAGAATAAGGGCAAAGAAACAAGTGTTTAGGTGAGTAAATTAGATGATGAGAGAGAACCTAGTCTACAAAGTTACCATTTAGATCCTTAACTCCAGGAAGCTATTTCATAAATGGTTTTCTTTGGTCATACAAGGTGACCATGGGTCACATAAGGTCATGTTAAAATAACAAATCAGGGTTTCTGTCTGACTGATGGTGGGTCAGATATATTTCCCTCCCAGGAAAGAAAATCTTTTTTTTTTTTTTTTTTTTTTGAGATGTAGTCTTGCTCTGTAGCCAGGCTGGAGTGCAGTGGTGCAATCTTGGCTTACTGCAACCTCTGCCTCCCGGGTTCAAGCAATTCTCCTGCCTCAGCCTCTCGAGTAGCTGGGACTACAGGCGCGTGCCACCATGCCCAGCTAATTTTTGTATTTTTAGTAGAGACGGGGTTTCACCATGTTGGTCAGGATGGTTTCGATCTCCTGACCTTGTGGTCCACCTGCCTCGGCCTCCCAAAGTGCTGGGAATACAGGTGTGAGCCACTGTGCCTGGCTGAAAGAAAAATCATTCTACAGTGTTAATAACCTTGTCAAGTCTGTAGCAATGAACACTTCTTCTTCCTCCACCCAGCCCCCTAACCCCAAATTCTGCTTGGAGCAATATAGAGCAGCCTAATGATCTAAACAAAATTAAGATCAGTTAAATTAATTCCATTTTCCCAATTAAGAATTTATTTTGCATTTAAGAAATTGAACCATAGCCCTGTGTATATTTTTAATGCAAGCAAATATTAGTGAAGCAAATTTGTCATCTTCTTTTGTGTATTTTAGACAAATTTGTTTATGCTCAGTGAAATGATAGTTTTTATGGCAATTTCTCCTTTTCCCAGCAAAGAATGCTTAATCTCCTTTCTGAAAATGATTCAATTTGGGCAGCAAATCCTACGTTGAAAATTCTTCCCAGATCTCATATTATATAACTGAACAGATGGCATTCGCATGGCTTTGCTATGTCAGGCTGCAATCACAGGACATCCTGAGGAAGCAGCTCAGAAGCCTTCCTGAGGAGAGCGGGAAGATCCCGTGAGTGAGCAGGCACGTGTGGCTGTGGGATTGGGTGAATAACTGTGCTCTGACTCAGCTTCCCGTCTTCACAGCCCAGGAGCAAATTCCTCAGGATCCCGATAGAGTACAAATAATCCTGCAGAAACTAGTTGTACATTTGATTGAATCAGAAAAATAAATCTTTCCAATGGAAGAAAACAAAGTTTCTCTGGGAATGTCATAGAGGGAGATTGATTTGGTTTGTGCCAACGTTTGGAATGCCAGAGGCAGAGGGACAACGCATTGGATGTGCTCTAATTCTACCTTGGGCTTGCAGCGTGAGGGGGCAAAACTGGGAAGAATATATCACTTCACAGAGAATATATCAAACTTCACAGAGTTTGCAGCTTATTGGGAGAGAAAGAATCACTCACTCAGTCAGCAAATACATGAACAAACACACACACGAGAGTGATAAGGACCAAGAAGAAGAAGAAAAATAATGCCAGGAAGGGGGATACAGAGATGTGTGTATAAAATTTTAGATAGAAATCCTCTTTTAAAAAAGATGTCATTTGAGTAAAGAAGACCTAAAGGAAATGAGAGAGAAAACCATGTATGGCAGTGAGAAGAAACAGCAAGTGCAAACGCCCTGAGCAAGGGAAATGCCTGGAGTGTCCAGGTTCCCATACAAATCCCAGTGCTGCTAAAGCAGACCACACGAGGGAAGAACTGCGCACGATGAGGGTTGAAAGCCAATGTGAGGTCAGATCATACAGAGTCTTTAAGTTCATAGCCTGGAATTGCCTTTCCTTCTGAGTGAGATGGAGAAATCATTAGGAGGGTTTGGAGCAGACAAAGGACATGCTTTGGATTTTTGTTTACCAGGATCAGTCTTTGTAGGAAATAGACTGCGAGGCAGCAAGGGCAGAGGCAAGGGGCAGGGTAGTGAGGGACAGGGAAGAATCATCTAGAAGGCTACTGAGATAATCCAGGTGAGAGAGGAAGGTGGATTGTACCAGGATGGTGGCAGTCTAAGCAGCAAGAAGTAGGTAGATTCTGGATATATTTTGAAGGTGGAATCAACATGTCTGGTTAATGGATTAGATGCATTGTATAAGAAAAAAAAAGAGGAGTTTAGGGTTATTCCAAGGTTTGGGGACTACACAACTGGAAGGACAGTGTAGGTCTAATTAGAAGGAGGATAATGTGGGAAGGGCACATTTGGAGGATATCAGAACATCCATTTGGAATTTATCATGTTTGAGATGTCTATTAGACATCCACGTGGAGATGCTGAGTGGGCAATTGAATGTACAAACCTGATGTGCCAAGGAGAGATTTGGGCTGAAAATAGAAATTAGAGAGCCATCAGTGTAGACATGACATTTAAAGCTATGAGGCTTGACGAGCTCACCGAGAGATTAATAATGCATACAGAAACCAAGAAAATATTCAAAGAGTGATGTTCTGTCTGGAATGCTGCTGGTAAGTACAATGAGGCAAGCAAACCATTGGATTTAGCCATATGCAAGTCATCATTGATCTTTATAAGAGCAGCTCTTTAGAACCTAGGGCAAAAGATTTGCTGGACTGGGTTCAAGAGAGAATGCCGACATTGGACACAGTGAGCAAAGATACTCCATTCAAAGACATTTACTTTACAGGGAAGAGGAGAAACGGTGGTAGTTGGATGGAAAGATGGGATCAGGAGAGGATTTTTAAACTTTTTAAATTGAAGTACAATATATATGATAAAGATGCTTACTGCTTGTTTGTTGTTCTATAATTTTCACAACCAAACACACCCAAGTAACTAGTACTCATTTCAAGAAATATAATATTGCTATCCCCAAGCAGTCTCGAGCCTGCTCCCTCTCAGTAACTGTCCCCACCCAAGGGCAACAGCTATCTTGAACTGACTTCTAAAACCCAATTCATGTTCCTACTTTTGTAATTTGCATAAGTGAAATCATACAGTTCATGCTCTTCTGCATCTGGCTTCTTTGCCTGTATGTTACATTTGTAATATTCATCTATATTATTGCCTATAGTTATGGTTTGATCATTCTTATTGCTATATAATAATCTATTGTGTGTATATACCAAGATTTATTGATCCCTTCTACTGTTGCTAGGCAAATAGATATTTTCCAGTTTTACAAATAGTGCTTCTATGAGCATTCCAGTACATGTCTTTTGGTGAGCATATGTATACATTTTCTTTTTCTTTTGATACAGAGTCTTGCTCTGTCACCAGCTTGGAGTGTGGTGGCATGATCTTGGCTCACTGCAACCTCTGCCTCCCAGGTTCAAGTGATTCTCCTGTCTCAGCCTCCCAAGTAGCTGGGACTATAGGCACATGCCACCACACCTGGCTAATTTTTTTTTTTTTTTTTTGAGACGGAGTTTCACTCTTGTTACCCAGGCTGGAGTGCAATGGCACAATCTCGGCTCACCGCAACCTCCGCCTCCTGGGTTCAGGCAATTCTCCTGCCTCAGCCTCCTGAGTAGCTGGGATTACAGGCACATGCCACCATGCCCAGCTAATTTTTTGTATCTTTAGTAGAGACGGGGTTTCACCATTTGACCAGGATGGTCTCGATCTCTTGACCTTGTGATACGCCCACCTTGGCCTTCCAAAGTTCTGGGATTACAGGCATGAGTCACTGTGCCCGGCCATGTATACATTTTATTGGGTATATTTCTGTGAGTGGAATTGCTGAGGCATAGAGAATGCATATGTTCAGGTTTAGTTTTCCAAAATGGCTATATCAATTTATGCTCCCACCAGCACTGTAAGAGAGACTTTATCCGTAATAGGGGTGATATTATAATATCTTCATCTGTGACTCCTTTGTCTTATACTTTAATTTTTTTGATAATTAATGGAGTGAAGAACAGTAGTGACTACTAGGCCCCCTCAAAATTTTAAGGATGAGACTACTGCTCATAGGGTTGTTGTGAGGACTGACCAACTATAAAGGACCTGGCATCATCCTGGCCCAGCATATGTATCCAGCATATGTTAGTTGTTGCTCTGATTTTTGCAGTCACCCTCTCAGCCTTGTCTACAGGCGGGGGTCAAGGTAAAGCAGTGATAATGCAGGTTCCTTCTCCTCCAAATCCCACTCATCCATCCAATTTGCTTTACAACATGGGAAAGGGTGAGCACTCAGGATGCATCATTGACCATACTGCGGGACCAAGAATAACAACACAGAAGCTCACATACCCCACTTCGTAACTTTCTCTGCATCTTCCTGTCAGACCAGGCATTTCATCAGGTTCCTGGAGGGGTTAAATGACAGTTGTGTGTTTGACTTCATCATAAATCATCTAATAAATCATCTATAGAAAAAGCATACTCTGGAGATGGTTTATGCCGCCATTGAACTCTAATAGTAGAAATCCTAAGGAGGGCTGGTTTGGATGTAATTCCTTTCCATTTGCCACTATCTGGAGATATTTATTGTTTATTTAACAAATAAATTAAATATACTTCTGCATTAAAAATTTCTTTCCTTATAGCTATGTCCATCCAAAAGGAGCATATGTGACTAAAATCATCATAATATCCAAGGAGATGAACTGATATTTACAGGATTGTGTCTGATTATATCTTTTAGTCTCACTTCAAAAAATAATTAATGGAGTTGGTGAAAATCAATATCATTCAGTGATGTAATCTAAGTAAATCCAAAATAGTCTCTCTCTCCAGATACACACACACAGACACACACACTTCTCTATAGTATGTCACATCCAAGATACCATATTACATTAGTTGTTGTGTCTCTTCATGGCTGTGACAATTTTTCAGATTTACCTTGTTTTGAGAAATACTCATCAAATATCTTGCAGATTGTTCCTTAATTGGTATTTGTCTGATTATTTTTTTGCATGATGAGATTGGATTATGGGTTTTTAGGTAGTATACATATGATACATATATATTACAGGGAAGTATATATACTATACATATATATTACAGAGAAGTGTATATATATATATATTAGATATATATATATATATCAGATATATATATATTAGATATATATATATTAGATATATATATATATTAGATATATATATATATATATATATATATATATATATATATATATTAGAACAGTTTTAAACTTACAAAAAATTATAAAGATAGTAAAGGGTTTCCACGTACTCCATATCCAGTTTCTCCTATTATTAACAATATATATTTGTTATCATTAGTGAATCAACACCTGTATATTATTAAACAAGTCTATACTTTATTCAGATTTCCTTTGTATTTATCTAATGTCCTTCTTCTTATTTTTACTATTTTTTTTTTTTTTGAGACAGAGCTTTGCTCTTGTCACTCAGGCTGGAGTGCAATGGCGCAATCTTGGCTCACTGCAACCTCCACCTCCCAGTTCAAGCAATTCTCCTGCCTCAGCCTTCTGAGTAGCTGGGATTACAGGTGCCTGCCACCACACCCAGCCAATTTTTGTATTTTTAGTAGAGGCAATTTTTAGTTACCATGTTGGCCAGGCTGGTCTCGAACTCTTGACCTCAGGTGAACCATGTGCCTCAACCAAAGTGCTGGTAATACACCCCTAATGCCCTTCTATTTCAGAATCCCATCCAGGATACCATATTACATTCGTTGTTGTGTCTCCTCATGGCTGTGACAATTTTTCAGATTTACCTTGTTTTCTGAGGAATACTCATCAAATATTTTGTAGATTGCTCTTTAATTGGTATTTGTCTGATTTTTTTGCATGATTAGACTGGATTATGGGTTTTTGGGTAGAAAATCACAAAGATAAAGAGACTTTTTGTTGCCTTGTTCAAGGGTACATTCCGTCAACATGAGTTATTACTGTTGATATTGATCTTGATCGCTTGGCTCAGGTAATTTGTCATGTTCTTCACTGTAAAGTTAAACCACGTCTATACGGCACCCTTTGGAAGGAAGTCACTACATATAGCCCACATCAAAGGAGTAGGGGGTTATGTTCTACCTCTGTAAGTGTAGAATATCTACAGAAATTATTTGGAATTCTTCTGCATAGGAGATTTGTCACTTTTCCATGATTTATTTATTCAATGATTCATTTATTAGTGTGAACTCATAGTTATTACATACTTTGGGTTATAGTCTGATATTGCATTATTTTGTGGTTCAGATTGTTTCAGGTTTGGCCAGGAGGAGCTCTTGTTGAAGTTGGCTCCTATACCCCTTTGAGATCCTCCTATCGTGTGTGAGTGTGAGTGTGTGTGTGTGTGTGTGTGTGTTAGATACTTACTTTCTGGCACTAAAAGATGCTCCAGGGCCAACTTGTACATATGCTAACCCAACTTAGAATCAGCAGTTTCTCCAAGGAGCTCTAGTTTCCTTTACTGGAGAGCAGTATTAAAACCAATATCTGGGCACTAGAAGTTCTCCTTACTACTGGGGTATTGCTGGTTTCTAGGCTCTCTTAGCTGACAGAACAAGGAAATATGTATACTAAGCTCTGTATATATGTACAAATATCTATAAATACTTCTATATGTAACCATAGGTATCTATGTTAAGCTAAACGTGAGTGAATTTATACCGATAGCCTCAACTGTAATTCATTACCACATGGACCAGTCTAGCCTATTCCTGTTGCTTGTCTGTGAACTCCATGAGAAATCTGGCTGCCACCATCCACCATGCATTTACTTAATTATTTAGTCTGGTATACATGTAGAGCAGTATCAGAATTGTTAACTTCAAACCTTATGGGAAACAACTTTATTAAGTGCAGTTTTTTTTTTTTTTGAGATGGAGTTTCACTCTTGTTACCCAGGCTGGAGTGCAATGGCGCGATCTCGGCTCACCGCAACCTCCGCCTCCTGGGTTCAGGCAATTCTCCTGCCTCAGCCTCCTGAGTAGCTGGGATTCAGGCACGTGCCACCATGCCCAGCTAATTTTTTGTATTTTTAGTAGAGATGGGGTCTCACCGTGTTGACCAAGATGGTCTCGATCTCTTGACATCTTGAGATCCACGTGCCTGGGCCTCCCTAAGTGCTGGGATTACAGGCTTGAGCCACCACGCCCGGCCTTATGTGCAGTTTTATCTCCTTTGATCATACAGACTCCTCTCATTTCCAAAATAGCTTAGGACAGCATCTTTTCCTCCCACCTCCTTCAGTGAAGTTGCTTTATAGATTTTTAATACAGTTAGATTGTTTTGTCAGTGCAGTCAATTCTAGGACCCTTGACCTTCTAAATGATCTTTAAAATGTGCATACATTAATGTTTACTCTATATGCAGTATCATGTATCCACAATTACAGTATTATGCAGAGTTTTACCACTCTAAGAAATTCCTCCTGCTTAACCTATTTGACCCTTCCTCCTCTTGCCCTGCTCCTTTGAAATCAATGCATTTTTTTTACTGTCTCCATAGTTTTGCCTTTTCCAGAATGCCATATAATTGTAAACATAAAGTATATAGCCTTTCAGATGGGTTTTTTCACCTGGAGCTATGCATTTAAGATTCGTTCATGTCTTTTTTATTTTATTTTATTTATTTAATTTTTGAGACGGAGTCTCACTCTGTTGCCAGGCTGAAGTGCAATGGCACATTCTTGGCTCACTGCAACCTCTGCCTCCCGGGTTCAAGCGATTCTCCTGCCTCAGCCTCCTGAGTAGCTGGGACTACAGGCACATGTTACTATGCCCAGCTAATTTTTATATTTTCAGTAGAGTCGGGGTTTCACCATGTTGGCCAGAATGGTCTCAATCTCTGGACCTCATAATCTGCCCTCCTTGGCTTCCTAAAGTGCTGGGATTATAGTAGCACATGACATGAATGAGCCATCATGCCCGGCCCATTCATGTCATTTTTGATTTGGCAGCTCATTTAGTTTTACTATCAAACAATATTCTGTCATCTGACTGTACCACAGTTTATTTTCCAATTCACCTATTAAAGGACATCTTAGTTGCTTGCAGTTTTTGGCCATTATGAATACAGCTGCTATAAATATTGGTTTGCAGGCTCTTGTGTGGATGTAAACCTCAAATCAGTTGGATAAATACCTGAAAGTTCAAATGCTGAATCATATGGTAAGATTGTGTTTAGCTTATCTGCCCTATTTAGCTAGCATATGCCACTCCTGAAAATCAGGTGGTGACCACCCTTACAATCATCAACAGCCATCACCATCCATTATTTCACTATTTCTTCCACCCTCAATACAATTTCAGTACATAAATACATCTATTGAGTGTCCCTCCTATATAATAATAATCATTCTTTATACTTTTCAAAGTCCTTTAACATGCGTTATCACAACGCCTCCAAAATAGCAGTGTAGGAGCCAACCTGTTCCAGGCAGAATCCTTGCTCTGATCCTAACCTATGGCCTGACACAGGGAAAGTATCTAAATCTTTTCACCTGTAAAAGGGGATACTATAGCACCTATCTCAACCTACCTGTACATGTTGGGAATATTTAATGAGTGTTTAGAGCAGTGCCACTTCTTGGACCAAGTCACGCTGCTCTTTGAAGTCTCAGCCAAGATTAGGATGCGAATCTTTTGATTTCTATTCCTATGCTTCTTCCACTAGAAATGAGATTATGCCCCCAGCCTCTTTCCCCTGCAACCTAGGCCAACATGTGAGCCTTAGTGACATCAAAGCAACTTATCTAACAATCAATTTAGGAAAGGCTCTGGTAATTTTTGTGCACATGCATGTTAGGGGAGGGATCTGTTGATAGTCAAGTAGGATGATCCAATCATCATTGACAGAAATAGTCTTATCTTTAATGAATAAAAAGAACAACAGACTTCGTTTTAATGTCTAGGATCGATCAATGGGCTAAGTACTGAAATAGTTTAAAACTTCATGAATTGAACTGCATGAACATGAATGTGTGCATTAAACTCTATGGACATGAAATGAATCTGTTCAAAAACAAGTTTGGGCAGTTAACATCTGGTATGTAGTGTTTTCAGAGTAAGGTTTAATTATTTTAAGAGGTTTTAAAACTCTGTATCCTGGCCAGAGAATGCTTATCTGCTTTATGCTAGTTTTTACCTGCAGAGTTTTTGTCTCTGTGACATCATATATTTATTTGCTGCTGTATTTTAGAATGCATTGCACAACAGTGGGAACTGATCTAAGAAGGTTAGTCATACTCTGGCAGTCACTGAGCATGCTGGCAATTGCTGAGAAAGTTTGAAGAATGCTATTTCAGAATACACCATAGCTCATCCTATATGGTCAAGTTGACTTTTTATGAACATTTGGTTGCTTATGTAAACAGTGAAAGTAAAAAATTCCTCAAGGACTGACAAGCAAGATTAATATTGTGTTTACAAAATAAGAGAACACAAAATATCTACAATGCTTTCACACCCACACGCACACATGCACACATATATACACACACATGCGTGCACAAACACACCTTTGTTGCAACCTGTTCGTTCTGGGTTAGAGGTATGTGTGGGACGTGACTGGAACTATCAATGAGGATCATCAGGATTTCAAATAATTTGCAATGATTGATATCAGTTATAAAAATGCTGAATTATCCAACTGATCATGGCTATAGTATAGTTTGGAAACCATTTCTAAATAAAATTATATTCTAGTCACAACAATTAATAATATAAATTTATAGAGAAATTTAAATATACAAACATTTTGAGTAAATGCTAATTGTGACCTAATGCCTTCAGTAGAGAAGAATAAGTAAATTCATCTAGTGTTCTGTTTATAACTCTAATCAAAAAATAGTTCTCTATTAGTTGAATCAAATGTTTGTACCTTGATTATGGGTGTCAGAGCTTAGAGGTCTTTACTGATCTACCAAGAAAGAAAAAAAAAAGGAAGAAATGCAGCATTTATTTGTCCATGAGTTCACTTCTTTCTGCAAATATTCAGCATTTACTATGTATCTGGCATTGAACTTGGTCTGAAGAACAGACAACCTGATGGTGTTTGGAGAACTGAAATAGTTATACTGCAACTGATCTAACACGTTCTTGTTTAAAGTTGAAGACTGAGGCAAATTAAAACAGCCAAACAGTTTTGGTGAGTTTTACCTATGTACTCTCGTTATGTCCAATACACCTTGCACTAAACTTTTTTTGTCATTTCTTCCTATTTTCTAACCACTATTAGCTAAAACCCCAACAGATATATGGTCTATAATTGACCAACTTAATTGCATATAAATGCAAATGATCCTAATCCATTCACTTCAACTACATAAGTACAATGTAAGTGAAATAAGTGTGTCATTTAAAAATGAGGTACTATAAGACAGGGCAAGGGAAATAAAGAAAATGAGATCTGAGGTTAAAAATTTTCATTTAAAAACATCAAAACTGAACCCAGAAATGACAACAACAGAAGCAGACAGACATTCTTTAGAACCTCTTTCTACTGTCTATTTCCTGAAATGGGTTTTCTCTAGTTTATTTCACTTTGTATCACAGATGACTATTTGGTTTAATGTGTCTAATTCCTCTGCAATTAGATTTGCAGAACATATTATTTCATCTTAATAAGAAAAATTTTGAATCACAGCCAAATTGCTGTAGGACAAGCAGATTTTGTTTTCTTACAATTTCATTAGTAAAAAAAAAATGAGGGTACCAATATTGAAATGTCACAAATATGGAATTTGAAGTCAAACATCTGTGTTCCCTTAAAGGAGAATATCTTTTCTGAAGCTTGGGAGCCTCCATTAGTGAACAAATTACTTTGCAATGAAAAAAAATCCCATCAGTTTTGTTGAAATTTTTTTGTTTTATTGTGGGTTTATTTCATTAATAAAAATAGAAAAAATGCATACAATAATAGAAGAATAAGAAAGAAGACAATTACTCGAGACTCTACTAGGCAAGTGATTCTGATGTGCTTCACTGAACACATGATGTAACCTGAGCCCATGTCCCTGGCTTGACAGAGCATCTGTTTTCTCACAGATGCCTGAAAAACACCCAGCTCCTCTGGATGCTGGGGCGCATTTCTGAGCATTGCACTACCTTTAGCAAAGAGTGCAAGCATGTGTTCTCTTTGTAAGGGATGGAAGGATCTAGGCAGTTGAGTTGTACATATCTTCTACATCCTTCTATGTATATATATTCTTCTACCCAAAAGAAAAGTCACACTCAATTCACGGTCGATGGCTGTACAAACAACAGGAAATACCACCTCTACTACTGCAAAAAAGCAAGTGAAGAACTGGTATTTCTTATTTAGATATATTGTAGTAGTAAAAGAGCACATACCAGTATAAAGGAAGGGGCATCTGTTTTCTTAGTTCTGGGGATTGCTATGTTTAATAACTTCAGAGGAACACTGATAAAGCGGAAGGCGTGTGCATGTCTGTTTTCTCTCCTATTGCATTCATAGCCCTGGCAAACAGCACTCAGTGGATACTCATATAAATATTTGTTGAGTGAATGAAAAGAGAACAACTAGAACTATGATGCATTTCTAAAACAGGACTAAAACAGGCCATGTGGTTAAAGGAAATGAAGATACTTAGTCAGAGAGGAGGAGATTCAGGGAGCACAATAGTTCTCTTTGTATTTGAAATAAATTTTCATGTAGAGGAAGAGCTAGACTCAATCTGAGTGACCTACGGAACAAAATAAGCGACTGTATAAAGAGGAACATGCAATTAGAGCTGCCCCAAATGGAAGTGGAACCGCTATAATAACTCTTGTTAAGTCCTGGCCGTTCTAATTCTTACCTAGTTTCCACACCTTCCTGTCACCCATTGCTCATTCATTCACCCATTAAAAAATGCGTATTTACATGGGTGAACACTTATCTCCAAACTCATCAAATTGTTTACATTAAATATGTACAGCTTTTGTCTGACAATTGTACCTCAATAAAGTAGTTTTAAAAATCACCACCACCACCAAAAGTCCCCATGAAAATACATATTGATAAAATGCAATTTAAAAATATATATGTATATAAGGAAAATACATATTGAGCATCTTCAACATGCAGGTACTCTATCAGGTTCTGGGGAAATAACCATGAACCCAACAAACACGGCCTCTTTTCTCATTCAGTTTATAAGCTGGTGAAGGAAACAGACAAGACAGTGAGACAAATCCTTTATAAATGATCATGCAACTTTGGTGTAATTAAAGTCAGTGGCTTAAACCAAAGTTGCATGATCATTTGTAAAGGAGAGCAAAAAGGGAAATCCTGAATCATGGAAGGGCTAGACAGGATGATCGCACTGTCTTTCCAGCTTTTGAGATTCCTAGGATTCTATGCTTTCTCACTGCATTCTCATCTCAGTAAGTGGTCCCATGTTGACACCCAGAAGTCATCATGCTCACTCTCCTCCTCATCTCCTACTCTCAAGTCACTATTCAGTCTTAATCATTCTAGTTCTAGTTCCCACACTCACATCACAAGGTTGTCCTCATGGTGGCTGGATGACACCTCCTGAGTCCACATTTCCAGTCTAGTATTGTGCAAATGATAGAGTGCAGTACTCCGTGAGGTCCTAATGTACTTGGTTTGCTGATCGTAGGTTGAGAAATAAGATTCTTCTTATTGGGTTGAATGATGGTCCCCACAAAGATATATCCATGTCCAAATCCCTGGAATCTGTGAATGCAATCTTATTTGGACAAAGTCTTCGTAGATGTAATTAAGGACCTTGAGATGAGATCTTGCTGGATTCCCCAGTGGGCCTTAACTCCAGTCCCAAGTGTCCTTCTAAGAGACAGAAAAGCAGACAACAAACACACAGAGGAGAAGGTAATATAAAGATGGAGTGAGTCAGAGAATGAAAAGATGTGGGCACGAGTCAAGGAAGCAAAGGACTCGCAACAGCCACCAGAGGCTTGAAGAGGCAAGGAAGGATTCTCCCCTATAGCCTCCAGGAGGAGTATGGTGAAAGCTTGATTTCAGACTTCTGGCTTCTATAATGCTGAGAGAATAATTTTTCTGTTGTTTTAAGCCACTTTGTTTGTGATAATTTGTTTAGAAGCCCTAGAAAACTAACCCATTATGTTTCCTACCATCCAATACATATAGTTCTTCACAGTGCTTTCAGGGGGATCTTCCTAAACCTGAATCTGAGCAACTTATACCCCTGCTTTAAACCCATTATCTCTCTGCAACCTGTAGGCAGCACTCTCTTTCCTTGCTATGATGCTGTGAAAGACTGTTCACTTGTATGACACACTTCCCTGGGGGACACAGGTGATGCTCAACTCATAGCATGATGGCGTCAATGCCTCTGTCCCTCCCACTCAAGAATTCATCTGAGAATGGAACTGAGATGAAACTTTTACAGGGATAGAGACTTGAATTTAATTTAAACAAAATAAAAACAGAAAAGAAACCATCTTCAGTCTGCTCCTGCCATTAGGTTAGTTGGAACACACCTCCATGGATCGTGCTCCACTGACTGCCTGGCATCACCTGCTGCCTGCCTTCCTCTCCAGCTCCCTCCCTGAGCACATTTTGCCTCAGCGGTGCGGACTTGCACTCAGTGCCTAGGACACAGCACAGTCATTTGGGCCTTTTTGCCTTTGCACATCCTGTTCCTTTTGCTTGGAATGCCCTTCCCACACTTAGCCACCTCACAGACTCCTATTCATCTCATAAAGCCAAATTCGTATTCTGTGGAAGCCTTTTTGCCCACTTAGGTTTTGGTCATTCCCTTTCTTATGCAACGATCTTACTGTTTGTAAAATATAAAGTTTTACTTTATTATGCCATATTGTAATTATTTATGTATCCATTTCTTCGAAGCCCAGGCCATATTCAGCTCATTTTATTCAGCCTTAAAGGAAAGAAAAAAAGGAAATCCTGCCATTTGCCACAACATGGATGGATGTAGAGGACATGCTGAGTGAAATAAGCCAGACACAGAAAGAAAAATATTGTATGAACTCACGAATATGTGGATTATTTTTAAAATGAGGTCTTATATACAGAAACAGTAAGTAAAATAATGGTTACTATGGGCAAGGCAAGTGGGGGGAATGGGGCAATAGAGATCAAAGGATACAAAGTAGCAGATATAAACAGGTATAGGAGATCTAATGTATAACATGAGGGCTATAGTTAATAAAACTTGCATTAGGGGGCAGGTGTGGGGCTCACCCAGCACTCTAAGAGGCCGAAGTGGGCAGATACTTGAGACTAGGAGTTCCAGACCAGCCTGGCTAACATGGTGAAACCTAGTCTCTACTAAAAATACAGAAATTAGCCCTTCTGCAATCCCAGCTACTTGAGAGGCTGAGGCACAAGAATCATTTGAACCTGGGAGGTGAGGTTGCAGTGAGCTGAGATCACACCACTGCACTCCAGCCTGGGCAACTGAGTGCGACTCTGTCTCAACAAACAAACAAATAAATAAGAAACTTGTATTAGGGATTTTTGTAAATAAGTGTTTTTTAGCTGCTCTTGTCACGTACACGAAAGTAATTCTGTGAGATGATAGATAGGTTAATCTGTTTTATCAGAGCACAACTTTCCTGTCTATGTGTTCCATAACATCACGTTATAAATCTCAAATATATACAAGAAAATTTATTTTTTAAAAAATGAATAAACTCATCTTGGTATTCTGAGTGCTTAGCATATAGAAGAAACTCATCACCATTCTATTATTGAATGATATTGATCCAGAATTTATGCTCTGGAATTGGTGAGCATGTTTGAAGGTTGTGATACTTCTTCTGTGATAAAAATAACATAAATATTAATATTTAATGAAAGCTTTCATGATTTTAGGAGAGAGGTTTGTGAGAGGTTGTAGAGAAGGTGGCAAAAATGCATTCATTCCTTAGGAAACTCAGTTATTAGGCAGCACGCTGGGTTTCATAGAATAGATTTGAGAACTAGGAACGTAATGATCTCCTTCATCCAGTTCTGGTGACAAAATTGAAAGGGGATATTATTATCCACAAGGAGAAACACAAGTAGTCTTGAGAACAAGACAGCATTTTGTCTTCACTTTCACCTGCAGATGTGTCCTGGACCCTGGTCCTTCTAAGTCGCCACTGCTGATACCTCTTCATGCAGCTTTCTCAGCCCTGCCAGCACAGTCCCTTTTCTTCAGCAACAGTGAAGGATACTGCGGCTCCGGGTTCCTTTGGGAATGAATGTTTGGAATAAAAGTAACGTCACAATACCATTTCCACAAGTGCTCTACGTGGCTTTAAAGAAAGCCTCTTGGTAAAAGTGTTTCCATCCCTGTCCCGAAGCTGGGATTCTGCGTGAGCTATTTTCGGCCTTGTTTCCAGTTGCCGCTGGCCAGTGGCAGGATTTCACACTCAGCTGCCACATCTCATTACCGCCCATTGCGCCCTTTTTCGGGAAAGCTTCTCCTCCCAGGCTGACACATGTGGGAGGCAGGCGGGCGAGACGCTGCCCCTCTTGCTCCTGCTGGAGGATGCTGTGGCCGTCTGGTGTATTTGCCTTTGGCGAGGCAGGGCCTGCGCTTCATCTTCCTGAAAGATAGTCTCTTCTCTCCCTGGGCTGTGAGCGCAGGAGATTTAACCACTTTCTTGGGAAGTTGCAGTCAGAAATGTATCCAGATAAATCCAAATGTGGCAGATTTCTCTACCCTGCTCTCTGCCCTGGAAAGCTGAGCTGCAGGGCAACGTGGAGAGGTTTCCTTGGACGCTAGCTTCTGGAGGGACTCAGCCAATGAGGAGCCCCAGGAGGACACTGAAGGGAGGGGGCTGAGGTCAGGTTATATTCCCCGACTCTCCCTGTGAGGCTGCCTCTGGCTGGCTGTGATCCTTGACTTCAGTCACTGCCCCTGTCAATAGTATTATATCTGCACAGGATCCTTTCCTTCTGAGTTTCAGTAACTACCAGTTGAGCCTTGAACAATGCAGGGGTGAGAAGTGCTGACCCCCATGCAGTCAAAAATCCATGGATAACTTCTGACTCCCCCAAAACGTAAACATAAATAGCCCACTCTTGACCGGAAGCCTTACCAATAACAGAAACCGTCGATTAACACATAATTTTGTATGGATTACATACTGTAAGTAAGCCAGAGAAAAGAAAATGTTAAGAAAAGCATAAGGAAGAGAACATACATTTATATTACTGAACTGTATTAACTGATATGTAAGTTTATGTTGTCTGTTTTCAAAATGGACACCTGTCTGAAATGGTGAGCAATCGCAGCTGCAGACCTCAATGTATGGTACATATCGAGCAATTAAACTTTTTCTTGTAATGTCATGACTTTTCTCCGCCTCTTGGGAGAACTTCGAGCATCACTAGTGGCACATCGTATGGATCCCATGGTGTTACTCAAGATTTACAATATTGGACTAAACAGGATGAAAGATATAGGAGAACTGCAAGATCACGTTTTACAACAGTAAGAAATTTAGTAGAGAGAAAAACTGCTTTCTTGGAGATGATTAGCAACACTTAGCATTTTAAGTAGATACTTGCAACATTTGAGCTCACCACAATGGCAACAGGAAGTGGCTACAAAATTATTACAGTAGTACAGTATGTACTACAGTTAATTTTAAGCAGTTACAATTAATGCTGCATCTTTATGTTTGTTTACATCTCTCAACTGGGAATGGAGCCATGTGTGGTCTGTAAGGGTGTACATTTTGATAAATTTTAACTTCTTATAATAGACTTGTGTATATTTCATGGTAGTAAATGATGAAACAGGCTAGTATCTACAGTAACTAAATATATTTTATGCATTCATGACATACCTCATGTTTTCTTTATTTTTTTCCAAATTTCTAGTCTAAGTGGTTTGTCTGTTTTTCAGATGGTCACAAATCTCCACAATACTTGTATATAAATGGAACCGCTCAGTTCAAACATCTTTTTTTAGGATCAACTGTATTGCTTTCCTTTCTCCTTTCAGGCCAAGGTGTCCATGTCTCTGCAGTTACTTATTGTACTGTTTTCTGTAGCTCTATTATATCTCACCCACGCCTTTGTAAACAGTACCATTGTAAATCTTATCCAGAGGTGAGTGTGCCAACGATTTGCTGTTGGGGCTTTTACTTTTGGACTCTAGACTGGAGAGACACTAAAAGTTTAAGAGGGATCTTACAGATTTTGACAGATTATTTGGTTTTGGGGAACTGACTCAGACTTTCATTAAAAAGAGGGTCAACTGAAAGGACACAGTGGATTAAAAACACAAATGAAGCCCAATATTTTTTGATTTCGAGCCTTGCAGTTTCCTGTCCATATTAACTGCTCCATTTCCTCTACAGAGCAGGATCCTCTGTTTCTCTTGATTCTTCCTTTCATACTCATGCCTCATAACGTCAGCTGGTATGTGATTTTGGCTTACCAAGATACAGACTTCCTTCTTCACCTCCAACCTGGCAGTTGCCCTTACTAATTAAGTAGATATTATTGGAGCATAAAGCAAACTAATAAGCAAACTTACAAGATTGTAGTTATCAATGATGAGATAAAAACCAACCCAAATTCTTTTTGGAAGAGGCAGAATACAAAGGAGTGCTTGTAAATGAGGTGCATAGCTTAAGAGATGCACCTACCAATTTCTATAGAATCAAAAATCATGACATATGTCTACTTATGTACCCATGTCTTAGAAGTGAGAATCAAGTCTTCCAGAGAGTTGAAAAGAACACTGTTGTTCTCAAACATGATACTTAGAGACAACCTGGGATGAGAGGCCCAAGTTTTTTGTACATAGCAGTTTAGTGGCCCTGCCTCCCTCACACTGGTCTGAATGTCTCTGGAACAGACTTGTTTGAACCTACAAAAAGGGATAACGAATCCACAGCAGCTTCAGTGGTGATCTCGACCACTCATGAGCTTTGAGTAGGCTATGACAGGACATCTGACCCTTCCTTCTGGCATGTCCAAGTGCTAAACAGAACCTACTGACCAAGACTTTCTTTTCTAAAAGAAGTCCGGTCCACAGGAGTGAACTGGTGAAAGAGTAGAAGGCTAAACCTGGATTTATGTCAGCCAAAATGACATTTGCTGTTAAAAAGATAATTTACTTTAATATATTTGTTTTACATGAGGAAACTGAGACCCAGGAAATTTAAGTGACCTACTTCTGGTCACACAGAGTTGACATACGCTATACCAACTGTTCTTCTTTAACTGATTGCCTGTAATACTGAAAATATTTACAAATCTAGGATGACCGGATAGATTCATAGTTTAATGTTCATAGAAAACCCTTGGAAGAGTGACTTCCACAGCAGGTTGATAAAAGGTGAGGGTAATCATATAACTTATTGTTCAAACTGAGACCACTGTCAAAGTGAAAAGGAGTGTTAATAATGAGGCTGGAACATCAGGCATTAATGTGGAAGTGTCTCTGTAAATAATAAGCCATTGCCAAGAAGTGGTAAATAAGAGCCTATAGGCTAATCCAAGAACTCAGGGAGGCTGGGGAAATAGGTGACCATGGGACTAGGTCCTTGTCAGTTATGTTTGGCAAGGTTCTGAGCCTCTGGCTACTGAAATATATAGAAGATGGACTCCTCTAAAACATGGAGCCTTAGGCTGAGGTTCTTCATATAATTAACAGTTTACTGTTCCCTTTAACAGGAAAAGGGAACCATTTATCTCTCAAATTATAGACCACTGGTCTGTTGGACAGCTCTGAATTATCAAATTATAGGGTCAAGTTTTTCAGTCTAATACTTGGTATGAGGAATAAAGAAGTTGTGGTGACAATTCATTACTTTCTCTGTTCTCTTTTGTTTCATGAAAAAAAAACTGGCAAGAGTAAAGAAAGTCCTTTTAGAGTGCCTATCAATGTCCTCATCTATCTTACTTCATAAGCAAGGGACCAAACTACATAATCTGTTTCCAGATCACTGGCCATTGATGCTTCTGTGTTTGTAATGGCACCGCTATCAAAGTTTTGTGTTAATTAAAACTCCAGCCCTAAATTCTAGAAAATAGGGTTGTATTTAAGTTCTCTATCTCTTCTTTCCAATATATATTTAAATAACTTGTTCCCATTATGCAAAAAACAGGATGCATGCCTTCCACTTAAGAGCAAAAAGGAAGACAAGTTTTTACCGAGGACTTGGTTTATTTTTTTTAACAAAAGCAAATGAACCTACTGACTAATGATTTCCAGAAAGAGCATTATGCCTGAAGCATAGCAAAGCTAAAATCTCTCAGCTGATATTACTCTTCCTTAATAAATTGAAACATGAAACAACTCCATCAAATAGATAATTTACTCATTCACTTGTTATTTCCTTCTATCAATGACCCTTAATTTCCTTGCATCTGGCCTTGAGCTTGATATTAGGGGTCAGGTTAATTTATGGTGTTCATTTTGGGTATTTTCTTTTCTTCTTCCTCCTCTTCCTGTTTCTCTCCTTCTGCTTTTTTCTTTTTTCTTTTTTTTTTTTTTTTGAGACAGAGTCTGGCTCTGTCATCCAAGCTGGACTGCAGTGGCATGACAGCTCACTGCATCCTCCTCCTCCTGGGCTTAAGCCATCCTCATACCTCAGCCTCCCGAGTAGCTAAGACTACAGGCACATGCCACCATGCCCAGCTACATTTTTTACTTTTCTGTAGAGAGAGTGTTTCACCATGTTGCCCAGGCCGGTCATGAACTTCTGGGCTCCAGTGATCCTCCTGCCTAGGCCTCCTAAAGTGCTGGGATTACAGATCTGAGTCACCATGCCTGGCCTATATTTTTCTTCTAATCCATCCTTCCTAATCTAAAAAAGAATAGTATTACGGAAAATAAGATATTTTCTGGATGAGTTAGTGAAGTTCTTTCATAATCAAGACATTCAATTGTTAACACCTAGTCTTAATATTTTTTCATGTTGAAACCATGTTTTCCATGTTGGCACAGAACTCTATATTGTCAACAAAGTACTGATCTACATTCATGGATAGACTCAAAGGTTGTCTTCTGGAAAACTTTACCCTAACTACCAGGCACTCTCTAACTTATGCCAGCATTGAAGAGGAATGACTTGCTCTCTGACAAATTCTGAAGGATAATTTTTCTTCCCTCATTCCCACTTTCTCAAGTGCCCGGCTAGATTTCCTTTCAGTCAAAAATGGCATCTCCCTACTTCTTGGTGTCAGAAAATGCCCTCTGATATTTTCCACGGCTTTCCTTGAGATGTCTGATATGTGAAAGCCACAAACCAAGGGATGTCACCTGGTTATTCTTCTGGGTTCCCTAAGTGTTCTACCTGTGTTGAGCTGGAGCAGCTTCTCAGCCACAGTGTCTACATATACCTATATGCCCTTTGAGAAACTCTCAGAATTATATAAGCAGGAAGGCATTCCAGGACTGAATTTTAATGACCTTATTTAATAACACATGCTATATACAGATGAAATTTAATGTTTAAATAC